GCTTCACGAGGTGTACGCCATCATCCGTCTGATCCCGGTTCATCGGTGGATTGAGTTGGATATTGGTAGATTTCCCCCCTCCGAGGATTCCTGTTACTGCTAGAAGTTTATCTGTATGTGCATGTTGTTTCTTGCGTACAAGACAATGCGAATGTCGTTAGTGGTGCTCTCAATGAGTCTCTGAAGCTACCGTTGTACACATCGAGGTAGGCCTACATTCTCGGAACGAATCGAAATCACGTTCTTCTTGGAAATGCTTTTATGGGGCGCACATTGTGCACTTCGTGGCCGCCCCCCATCCACAAAGAATGCATACCACATGGTTTGAGGGGATATTTGGGAATTGTTCTGCTAAGTTACCGGAAACAAAAGAACGTTCTCATCACACAGAACGGATAACAAGAAAACGGTCCTTCGTTTTCGTCACCTTGTTAAATGGAGTTCACGGTAATGATGGAATGCAAAAAAACATTCGGGAGACATATAAAGGTACATTAAAGAATGAATATGACGTACGTTTTTGATGGACCCATCGATAGTTCTATGGTACGGAGCTGCTGTTCACTCTCTACTCCTGCGGTGTCCCGTTGTCGCTCGTTGAATTCTACACTAAGTATCCCGTGTTTAGAGACAGTATATAATATGGAACTCTGTCCATAATTCAGACGTGATATTCCATAGGTACGTAACCAGAGCTTTTTAAAAAGTGCTGTCATATAGTGATTGGAATAGCCCAAGCCTGATTTAGGAGAATGGCACATCCAATAAGACTCACTTCAGAGTGTAAACCACAAAACATCTGAGATATTTCATCGGGCAAAATTTTGACCATACTACTATGAAATTCTGTTTGTGGTTGAATGTCAGGTGCAGAAGCCGGATAATTTCTGGTGCTAATTTTTGGGCGTCGCTAAGATTGTCCTAATGTGAGTCGTCGTATGGGTTCCACGCCACTGGTTGACTTATTATCGCCTAAATCAATGGTTTGAAACAGATATCCATAAATGTGGTTAGAGCTGAGCATACAAAGCGGTTGTACGGAATGGCATACGCAATAAAGGTATTTTCAACGTGAGTGTGGAGCTTGCTCTTTTCCTTACTCTCTTCCATGGTTCCTCTCTTGGGGGTAGGCATGTATGCCAGCACCACGGGCCGCAAGTTTACGCGAACGAATACAGTCTGGTACAATTATCCGGTTGTTCCCATTTCGACCCTTAGACGACCATGGTGTCTGAAGTGAATTTCCATAACTGCTGGCCTAAGCGGACCAAAGCTGTTATTAACTTACCATCACAAGATCGTCTAAGTGAGACGGCGAGTGAAACAGCTTATTGATCCACCGTTCGTATGCACTTTCCTTTGGGCTATATTTCCGGTCTTATCCAGATTTACAGGGTGTCCAAAAGGTTCTGAATGAAACACCATCATCGCTGACAGTAATACACCAGTAGTTCACGGTTTTGCTTCACTGCCAGACACCCAATGAGAATATGAGGAGCAATCTGAGAACATCCAAGCAAATGTCGGTAAGAAACGGGAACGAGTAGGGACTAAGTGCAAGAAAAAAGGAAACATTTGGGAGTAAAAAGCAATGGAAAAAGTGCAAAACAATGAAGTAAGCACAGCTGAACCTCCATATTATTTGCAGGATTGATTTTACATCATTTCCCAGCCTAACCTAGTGGTCCACTGTGCCGCGCAAGTAGTTAATGTGTTTTCGTTTTTTTTTTCTAGATACAGTCCAGTACGGATGATTATTTCGGCTGAGTTATACAGAATTCGTATTTTATCAGTGTTCAGACTTAGCTACCGAAGTGCAATCGATCGCTGTTACTCCGTCGGTGCTGTTCAGTCCACGCAAGATAGTCCCAACCCTTATCTTCTGAAAACCCACTGGACCGATGCGTCAGAACTGGCTGACCATCTTTTCAAGCGAATTGTTGCTGTCAATGAACATTTTGTTGTTGTGGATAAGCCTGCTGGTCTATCCGTTTGGGGCCATGCTCTTTCAAAGTTGGAAGCCCTGAAGCTCCTTCGACCCAAGGTATGGTTGTTAAAAAGTTCACGCAAGTGATCAGATTTTGCCGTAATTTCTCTGGTTACTTCGGCTCAGATGTATGCTCTGTTCTGCTGTACAAAGTTTGTTTTGGCCTCACTACTCAGGTGGTGATATCACTGAATTTCGGCGTCTCGGTTGCGCTGCCTTGCCTAGCTTGGCGACCAACACCCATTCAGGGACGATCTGTTTTCTGCTATCCACATACCTATACTTCTTCAATGCTAGTTGACTTTTTTCACTCACTTTTTATAACCTGAACGACTTCCTGGTGAACAAGAATCGGTGTTTTGGAAACTAACCATCTACGAAATATATCCGAAGAACTTTTTATCTACTGAACCTACATGCTGAGGAAGTTCCACTGCAATGCGAAGCTTGAATTGTATGAATTGTGTGAATTGTATGGTCCTTCTTGCGCTATTCCTTGTGGCATGTTCCTTTTTTCTATGGTCATCCTAACAATAGTTTTCAGGCTTGAAAGGTGTTAATAGTCAGGATTAGGTTGAAAAATAAAGCATTAACAACGACCATGGTATCATCGAGCATGTTGAATTGAAACGCCTGATGTATGGATGAACTGTTCTGGAGAACAAAGATCCGGTTTAGTTCCGCAGACTGTATTTAGCAGTCTAACAAATCAAGCACGATATTCAATGCAGACGGTGTTTAACTTCAATTTCATTGATATCTAGTTTTTGATACTTGATTCTTGTTTAGTTTGTTCTAGACTTGAAGTAGAGCACCCATACTCTATAGTGACCATTTTCATATCAGCGTCCCTCACAAAATTTGTTCATCATTTTCATCGTAAAATTTCAAAGGCGGTGACCTATCAATCACTGGCGTATAGAACCCGCGAACAGCTCCCTCCATTCTTATATTCCCTGTCCACTGCATCCTAGTTTCATTTGCCTTTGGTGTGAGTTACTGTGCATGATTCACCTTCCACATCAACACCGTTGTGGAGTGAAATATGCGTGAGAGCCAGCTCACTCATGTCTATGGACAGCTAGACACACGTTTGGGACCCTCGTTTCGTGATGACGAGAGAGTCCATTGAAAGCAATTCAGGCTATTCAATCGATCTTA